AGAAGTGATGAGACATTATGAAATTGGGAAATGTTGGATAAACGCATAATATGAAAAATGTCTTTCCCTGAAAAACTACTATCATCAATATTAACAAATGTGTATTGAGCCTTTGCTATTCTGAGTGCAGCTAAAAAAAAGAAAAGAGAGAAATAAATAATTCTGAGTACATTAGGTTGTCTTTGGGATATTTGCAGAAAGTACAAGTAGACACTGGTTCAGACTTCTTGTATCAACTTTAAAAGATGATTATGGCCCTTATAGCACCAACATGTATTACCTCCCCCTCAACATTTTTAGATTTCATGTATAAGCAATTACAGTTGTTCATATTATCATATTCATATTTTAATTTTTATCAACTATTCATGATGTTCTGTTGATTTAGTTACTGCTGAGTCTTTAGGTTCAAAGAAAAACTCCTTTGGGATTTAGGAACACAATATAGTGGAGTGAGAAGGTTACTGCAAATCAATTAATTATAGATCTGGAGCTCATCCTGCCATTAGTTTTGTAGGAGAGAGGCTAATCTATATTGATTTTTAATGTTTTTATTAGTGCAATATAATTATACATAATAGTGAGGTTCCATTTTGACATAATCATACATGCATGGAATATTCAGTCTCCCACACTTCCTCTTTCCCTTTCCTCCTCCCTCCCCATACTGTATATTGGTCTTCCAATTTTTTTTTTTAATTTGGGTTATGGTTTAGATATGAAGTATTCCCTACTTTAGAGGTGAAATGATTTGGTTAGGAGAACTTTAACCTAATCTGTGAATTAATCCACTGATAGGAATAAACTGGGCAGTCACCGTAGGCAGGTGGGGAGTAACTGGAGGAGGCAGATCACTGGGAGTGTAACTTTGGGGTTTATATTTTGTACCTGGTGAGTACAGCTCTCTGTTTCCTGATTGCCATGTTCTGAGCTGCAATCCTCCTCCACACCCTTCTGCCATGATGTTCAGCCTGCACTCTGACCCACAGCAATGGAGTCAGCTGTCAGTGAACTGAGACCTCAAAAACTGTGAGGCCCAAATAAGCTTTTCCTCCCCTAAAATTGTTCTTGTCAGGTCTTTTGGTCACAGTAATGAAAAAGCTGACTAAAACACTGTGCTTCATAAGTTACACTTAAAGGTGGCATTCATGATGGTGTATATATACACACACACACACACACACACACACACACACACACACACACATAGCATAACTTGGTAAATTTCATTCCAAATTTCCTCCCTTTCCCCTCTCTTCTCCTTCCCCCTCAGTCCCTTCCTCTATTTCATTGAGATCCCTTCTGTTTTCATGGGGTCTCCCTCCTCTTTTCCCCTTAATTTGCTCTAGCTTCTGTGTATGAGAGACAACACAGAACCCTTGACTTTGAGTCTGGTTTATTTCACTTATCATGATGTTCTTTAGTTCCATGCATTTTCTTGCAAATGCCATAATTTTATTCCTCTTTATAGCTGAGTAGAACTCCATTGTGCACATTTTCTTTATTCATCTGTTGACAGGCATCTACGTTGTTTTTGAATGTTAAGTTTCAGGAGTCTCTTAGATTGGTATCTTACAAATTAGACATTGATGAAAAGTTTTAGTGTGGATAGTTTATTTGGGAGGTGACTACAGGAAACACCATAAAGGAATGAGGAAGGGAAGACAGCTAATTCAGCATGTGTCCTTGACAAGGTTACCACTGCAGGCAATGAAAGCTCAATCCTGTTGTAAACTTTGAGAACATAGAGAAAACACCTCAGAGTTGTCCCACTCAGAGGGCTAGGATACAGTAGTATTGTTAAGCTCCCCTTGTCATTATTGATTCATTACTGATCAAGGTCAGGTCCCAAGGGCATTAACTCTCTGGCACTTTTAGCTGAACTCTGCCCTTTCAGGTAAAGCATGCTCATGTGATCAGAGAAAGAACAGAGATAGTCACTGGTGCTCACAGAAGCCTTCAATCTATCCTAAAACAGTGACTGCCATGGGGAAGTGGGCAGGACCCCTACCCTCTGTGTCCTTCTTGCAGTCCAAAACATATTTAAGCAAAGCTTATGCTCTCATGGATCTTAGGATGTTATTGACTATTAAATTTGATCTACTGGAGTTGTCCCCACCCAACTTTCCTTTGGACATATAACAGTTTGCACTGATATTTCAAATTAAGATCCTTATTTTAAGAAGATAACATCCAGGTTAAAATTTGAAACATGACAATTTAGTATTACAATTTGGAGTATTTTTGAAACAGTTCCAACATGAAATAAATTGATAGCATGTTTCTCATGATCTCATCCTCACTTCCTACTCTTAGAAAAGTCAAATTCAAATGCATTCCATGCTGGGCACCTTAATTTAAAATTTTGGAGCTTTTCAGTTAACAGAGCAATTGTGGTTTTTAGAATGTCAAAGATAAAAGGTTTATGTTTATAGCACCGGAATTCACAATAGCTAAACTATTGAACCAACCTAGGTGCCCTTCAGTAAGTGAATGGATAAAGAAAATGTGGTATATGTATTTGATGGAATATTACTCAGCTTTAAAGAAGAATGAAATTATGACATTTGCTGGTACATGGATGGAGTTGGACAATATCATGCTAAGTGAAATAAGCCAATTCCAAAAAACCAAAGACTGAATGTTTTCTCTGATATATGGATGTTAATTCACAATAAGCAGGGCTGCTAGGGAAGAATAGAGTTATTTTAGATTAGGTAGAGGGGAGTGAAGGGAGGGGAGGGGATATGGGGATAGGAAGGGTGGTAGAATGAAACAGACATTATTACCTTACATCCATATATGATTGCATGACCAATGTGATTCTAGAACATGTATAATCAGAAAAATGAGAAATTATACCTCATTTATGTATGATATATCAAGTGCATAAGTTCATTCTACTGTCCTGTATAACTAATTGAAACAAATTAAAAAATTATAAAAGAAAAAATAATTCACCAAGTGAAATAAAAGATAAAAGGTTTAAAATTACTTAATATTATTCATCATTATAAAAACCAAAACATAATACAATTAGATTTCTAAGTACATTCACAGCAAAGGCAATTTTACTTTCTGAAGGGATTTGAGAGATTTCACAAAAGCTTTGTTAGAAATATATTCAGACATTGACCATCTCCCTACCTTTCCCCCACAGCATAGTTGTGGGAAGAACAAAATACCTTTAGGAGGACAGAGAATGAGAAAGTCTTTTGAAAATTCACAGAATTTTAGTTCTTATTTCTTCAGGAAGAGCAAACCCAAAGTCTATGGGCTTTCACTCCACTCTACCCCAATTGCTGCAGATAATACTAATTAATTAATCCCATAGATGTGTTTCCAGAATTCTGCTTAACACAATGCAAGAAAATTACAATTTGTAGATTCACAGTAGTTCCTAAAGTTGATTTGTAGCCTAATACAGGTTGTGTGGGCAACATATAAAGAAATGACTGTGCTGTTTCAATAAAACTTGATTTATAGAAAATGAAATATGAATTTTCTGCAACTTTTTTTCTGTCACACAATTCTTCTATTGAATTTTTCCACCATTTAAAAATGTAAAAATTACTTCTAGGTAGGGGGCTATACAAAAACAGGTGATAGGCTAGATTTTTCCCACAGACCATAGATTGCAAACCCCCATCCTAGTACAATTCCTTCATTTTGTATACAATGAAATTAAGTATGAAAAGGATAAGCAGCAAATTCTTACATAAAAATTATGTAAATGGTTTGTAGCAGAGCCAAACATTTTGTGTGAAAAATGTCTTAAAAATGGTCCATTATGGCTATTTTCTATTATATTTCCCCTCATTTATAGTTCCCAAACAACATATTATTTTTCACTTTGATTAATGACTCATTCTCAAGGATTGGATGCGCATCAAAATAAACTTTACCCTGAATCATTTTGAGGTATGCCCATGTTTTCAAAAAACTGCAGTATAGGAACATATGGTCTACACATATGTATTTTTAAATTAATTACTTATTAAATAGTACATAATATTCCAAATAACAGATATAAGAAATGGTGACTTCTATCTTATATGCTAATTTTATTATTAATATTTTAAAGACTTGTAAGGACCATCTACATGAAAAAAATTGAGTTTGATAGCAACACCGGTATTTAAAGTATAATAGAATAGTATTCAACCTTAAAAAAGAAGGAATTCCTGTTATTTATGACAACATGGATGAACTTGGAGGATATTATGCTAAATGGAATAAGCCAAGCACAGAAATTTAGTTCTTGTTCTTTCAGGAACAGCAAATATTCTCACTTGTATTTGGAGTATTATAAAAGTGAACTCATAGAAGCAGAAAGAATATTGATTATCAGGGGTGAGAGTGGGCAGGGATAACTGAGGAGATGTTGGTAAAAGGATATAAAGATAGGAGGAATAAATTCAAGAGATCTACAGTTAAAGATGGTGACTAGGATAAATAACAATATATTGTATACTGGAAAATCACTAAGAATGTACATTTTAAATGTATCTACCACAAAAGAATAACAAATATGTGAGAGAATACATAAATTAATTAGCTTAAGTTAGCCATTCTGCAATGTATATTTCAAAACATAGTTGCATATAATAAATATATACACCTTTTAGTTGTCAATTAAAAAAAATAAAGACTCATAAGCAACATCTACATGAGTAATTGAGCTTTAATAGCAACACTAATATTTGAAATATTGTAATCACTGAAATCATGTTCCAGTTTTACTACAAATGTACTCCTGCACTTAAAAAAGTAAACCAACTCCAAAATTTGCAACCCAAGTCCATTTAAAAAAACATAGACAACTCAGAAATGAAGTATGACATATTCAGAGAACAGATTAAGTCAGTATTTTAAAAGACAAGAAAATATAGAAGGCCTACTATAATTAAACCATTATTCCTCAGAAATATTCCTGAAGATGAAATATCATGAAAATATTCAATTCTACTTGAGACCAAGAAATGTTTTGAAAAAAGATTTTATTTATTCTTCATCATCAAAGGAGCACCCTTGATTGTAGAAGATACTCCTGTTCTTATGAGTTTAGTATTTTCACGGACAAAATTGTGCTGACGAATTGGCATGTTGTCGTATCTCTTGTTAGTAGAATCGATTTTGGCTTTTACATTTATCAGTGATGTACTTGCTGGGGGTAATCCATTGATTTCATACAACCAGTACATATCTTCTGTCTGGAAATAAAGAGGGAGATATTTTATGTACAATATCTGGGGATTCTGAAAATGCAGGGAAGTGAAGGGAAAAATGCAGTATATTGCAATTAATACCTTCTCTTTGCCACAAAGGGTATGGGGAAGTTACAAAAATGAAACTGCATGTATAATGACAGATATTTAATGTAAAAATAAATTAAGAAGAGCTTTGGCTTTTCTTTCTTTTCTTTTTTTTGGTACTGGGGATTGAACTCAGGGGTACTCAACCACTGAGCCAAGTCCCCAGTCCTATTTTTTTATCTAGTGGTTGCAGTATTATGTATTCAGAGTCAGTGATTCAAAAGTGGACCAAGCCAAACATCATAATATAACTGAGTTAAGTACTCCTTTACTTTGTATAAGGATGCTCAATTTGAAAAACAGGTCCAGATTTTGGTGATTGTGCATATATCATTGTGAATTTTTCTCCAGTAAAAGTAACTCACTTCATGGGTCCAAATGAATGAGCTAAATGAAGAGACACACACACCCATATATCTGGTACTTGGTACTAATATGTGAGCTATAAGAAGTGACTGGTACTCATGTCCAGCACTTCGTGAATTCACATGAGTGAGCCACATGACAACATCTACATTCACACCTGGTACCTAATGTGTACAAATAGGAGCTACAAGTAGGTAGGGGCTTGCATCTTCATCTGACACTTAGTTCTAGACTCCCTCAAAAATTATTACATATAAAGACATTATTTTAAAAGTCCCATTATATCACAGGTAAGATTCCAACAATTTTATAATGTGACACAGAAAGAGAGAGAGAGAGAGAGAGAGAGAGAGAGAGAGAGAGAGAATGTATGAATTTTTAATTTTTTTTTGTAGTTGTAGATGGAAAGGATGCCTTTATTTTATTTGTTTATTTTTATGTGGTGCTGAGGATCGAACCCAGTGCCTCACGCATACTAGGCAAGCACTTTACCACTGAGCTACAGCCCCAGCCCTATATGTGCACTTTTTAAGGAAGTTATTCATGCCCTTTTCCCAATATGTTATATAACAGTAAGAACAATACGCTTATTTTACAAAATAGTGATTAAACATTAGTTTTTTAACCTATTGTTAAGTTTCTCCTACCCAGCTATGAATATAAACAATTATCCATTTATATTTTCAAAAACATTTTAAAGATATAGCTCTATATCTTCTTCCCAAAACTCTCTTTGAAAATATAAATAAAAAGCAAAAGTTAAAATAATATAAGAATAAACTAATATCTCCATACCACTTCTACCTCATAGAATCTGTGTTGATTTTTTTTTCTTTCTATCATTTTTCTACCCTTTCAACCATATACTTTTTTTTTTTTTTTTTTTTTTTTTTGTATCAGGGATTGAACCCAGGGCCCTTTACCACTGAGCCACATCCCCAGACTTTTTTTTTTTTGTATTTTATTTAGAGGCAGGGTCTTGCTGAGTTGCTTAGGGTCTCACTAAGTTACTGAGGCTAACTTTGAACTTGTGATTCTCCTGCCTCAGCCTCCCAAGGTGCTGGAATTACAGGCATGAGCCACCACGCCCAACTTTGGGTTAATTTTTACAATGAATATTAAATTGATCATTGTACTTTACAACTATTTTTTAAAGAAATAAAAGTAGTACTTTTCTAAGTTGAAAAGTTCACTTTTAAGTAGTGACTCCATATTCTGAAAAGAGATCAGGCAAAGCCTTATAGAATGAATGACCAAGGCTATGTTTTTAAGTGCATATTTCTTTCTGTGAATGGAGACAATTGATAATTATTCATTAGTAGATGTGGTCTGTGGCCACCCACATCCCTCAGGAGTTTCCATTTCTCTGTTCGCTCCAACTTTACATTGTCAGTACCTGCAACTCCATGATTAAGAGTTTTTCAGAAACTCCAGAAGGATTCTCTCTTGGCATCAAAGTATTAATTGTCCCTGGAAGCATTCCTCAATCAATGATTAGAATGGTATCAAGAAGTGTATAAATACCCTAACTTCCTGGCCCTGTTGGGTGTGAAAATTCTGAGGTGTGCATGCTACACTATTTCCCAGAGGTCTCTCATGGGATTAATTTCTAGTTGCTCACTGTGGCAGATGCCTTGATAAAGCACCCTTTACTGATTTTTCTTCCTTCTGTACATCAAATCCTGGCTTTCCTGTACCCATTTCTTGAGATCACAGAGCAACTATGCTACTTGAATTTGAATTCTTATTTGAGAATACTCTTCTAAGGGAATACAAACCAAGACATATATTTACACTAACATTTTCTACTGCTTTATGCTAATGGTAGATTCCTTTAAAAGCAATGAACATTTACCTACAGTACCTATGCGTGGTTATGTTTCTAATTATAACATGGGCATTTACATATAAATATGACATATTATATATTCCTATATATATGTATAATATTATATAAACAAGATGAAGCATCATATGTTTCATCTTGGAGAAATCTGATAGTTCTCACATTTTTGTAAACTATTTAAAATTTACTATGTGCACTATGGAAAACTCAACAGACTTATTACTCTCTGAGTAACACAGATTTTTGTAAAACATTTTGAACAAGTTAACTTTGGTCCCTCAAAGCTAATGCTATTTGCCTTATTTACTAATTGGGAAAGATAGCTTTTAATCATTCTAAACGCAATTTAATTACATGAGAAATTATGAAGCTTGCTAATATGATTGTTGAGATTTGTTTGGGCTAAGATTTAATTAAGCTATCCCTTAAAACCATTTTTATTTCCAAGAGAAGCACAATGAAGATCATATTGCTGCAAATATTGACTCGATGCTTAAAATCAATAATTTAAAAATGATGATAATGTAAACAATAATTTTCATTTAGATAATTATTTCACTTTTTAAATTGTCTTCACATTTATTATGGGAGTCATTGTGGTGTTGAAATTAAGAACTGGGATTTGGAGTCAAATAGACTGAACCATGATTTTAAGATCATTGATTTGATATACACAATTATTCTTATGAATCTCCAGGGCATTATACTTAGAATAAAAAGCCAGTTTCAAAAGGTCATGGAGTGTACTATTCCATTTGTATAATATTCTATCAGTGACAGAACCATAGATATGGAGAAAAGATTAGCATATGTCAGGGTTGTGGCAGGAATTTCAGTGTTGGACACAACTATAAAGGATTAGCACAAGGTAGTTCCTCTGTGGTGGTGGAAAAGCTCTATATCTCAGCTTTGGTTGTACTTATATTCATCTTATACTTGGGTTGTAATGGCCTAGAATCACACACAAATGCACAAATGTAAAAAAAAAATTATGCTAAAAGTAGAATAAGGTCTCTACTCTAATTAACAGTGTTTTTACCAATATCAGTCAGTTTTCTTGTTTTGATATTTTACTGTAGATATTAAGATGTCACCATTGGAGGAAATTCAAGGAAGGCTTCACAAGACTCTGTACTTTTGCAACTTCTTGTAAGTCTGTACATTTTTAAAGTTAAAAATATATGAGATTTAGAAGTCACTTGAAAACTAAATGGATATTTGACATGTATTAATACTATGAAATCATTGTTAATTTTTAGTTCCTGATAATGGTAGCATGGTTATGATTTTTATCATTTAGAGAATAGTAGGAAGTATTTACAAATAATACAATGTTTTGGATTTTCTTTAATGTGGAAGGTGAGAAAGGCCGTGGGTGTGAAGGTGAAGCAGAAGTGGCTATGAGTTTATAATTGTTCATACTGTATGATGAGTGTATGGAGGTTATTCTATTTCTGCACATATTTGGAATTTTCCATAATAAAAACTGAATCAACAAAAGTACTAATTTCTTAAACATATTTCAATCTCAATTTGATTCTCAGGTAAGCTTTATCAAATTGTGCCATTTCAAACTAACTAAAAACGACAAGAGTCTCAGTTGATTCCATATACCATCACATAAAACCTTTAATTATGCCACCAATAATTTAATTATCAAATCACAAGGAAACTAGGCACCTATTTTGTTCATAAAACTTGATAAATAGTTAATTTAAGAAACTGCCCATTGTATGCTAGATAAAATGAGTACCATTTTAATTTGCAAATCTTTTTAAGGATACCATTTAATCCCCTTAGAGTATATAAGCAAGTACAACATGATCATCTTAAGTACCAATGCAGGCAATGGGATATGCAGTGCAAGGCAAAAGAGGCTTTATCTTCTTTATTATTTAGGTTGTACATACTCTTCAAAAGATGAAAAACAGAAATAACTTTTTCAAATACTATTCAACATTTTCTCTTTTTCATTAAAATAAAAAGAGTATTTTTCTGATTATAGCCCTACATAATAATTGTTTGATATAAAAGTTTAGAAATCCCTTTGGCATTAGGATTTGTGTATTATAAGATGACAACATATCTTTTGAGTCTGTGCTACTGAAAGTAAACTGTGGTAATAAGTATCTTTTCCAAAATAATACGAAAATATCTTTGGCCTAAAAGTTCTTACTATAAAATGCATATGAAATCTTATAGAGAAATTTTCCTTATTGGATAAAATTTTAAAATTGTATTTGCCTTGACTATTAATAAAATGGCCACCTTAACAGAATCCTTTATAAATAGTACATTTTATACCATGTTTTTCGATTCTAAATAAAATTTACCTTCATATTCTTCATTTTAGTTTCAACATTTGACAGTACTGTATGCCTTAATCAAAGGTTCCAAAATTTCTATCTCAAATAATCTAAAGTTAATGTTTTTAACAGCTATATTACACAAAATGATACATAGCTATACATATCACTTTACAGTTGTTATTTGTTTCTTCCACATTTCCTTAGTATGGAGGAGAAGTGATTTCTTACTTTCCCCTCGTATTGACAACCTTATGTTATATTCAATATTTAAGTTCTTTTACTACACAAAAGAAAAGTAAAATAATACACAGCAGTTGAAATAAGTTGACTTTTGCAAGGTTTCTATTCTCTCTGATCAATGGTAAAACACTTTCTTCTTCATTTAATGCTTTTAGTGATATCACACATTCTTGATTATTGTCATTATAGAACTCACCTCTATTACTAATGTTGCTTTGTATTTCTTACTGTACATTCGGGGTTTAAATCCTACAACGATGAGGATTCCTTTAGTGTTATAAGGAGGAAGTTCTCCAGTCTGAGGTTTTACAAAAAACTCCGGATCACTGCCAGGTAGGAAGTATGCAGTGAATGGCTCAGAATATCTGGAATAAAAGTATAGATATCAACCTGTCAAATTAGATTGTGATCTAATTCTTTTTGTGAGTATTGATGTATAAAGTTTGAATCCTGCTGCAAAAGGCATACATTTAAATATGAATGCTGAATACTAATAGAGTAAGAGTGAGAAGGCATTTTTATAATGAAGTGTCATTCTTTCCAGGGTGACAAAATAGAATCCTAAAGTTTTTTTTTTTTTTTTTTTTCCATTCACGTTGCATTCATAGTGTACAAATAAAATATACTATCTCTATAAAAATTGTCAGAATTTATGTCCCAAGTGAAAAGTTAGCCAATTGCAAATACGTTCATATGTAAAATAACTAACCGCTAAAGCTATGATAAAGTCTTTTGTTTCCAGTAATATTTCATTATGATATTTGCTTACTTTCTTTCAGCTCTCCACTTGTTAAGTGAGGTGAAAACCCTTTAGAGTCTCATTAAAGTTTTTTGGTCCTGAAGATGGTCTATGATCTGAAGTGAACTGAATGACATTTTGGATTCCAGTGACTATCTATCTTCATGTCAAGGTTGGCTACATTTGAGGTGAAGACTGTGAAAGAAGTTGAAGGATTTCCTGGTAGAATAAAGCAGGGCAGCCACACACTGCATAAGAGGTTGTAAGTGAGGAATTTAAAATTCAAATTGACAGGGAAAGTGCATGTAACGTGTCAGGTATGGCTTCTGAAAACAATTTCAATAGTGAAACATAGAAGAAAACACAGGAAAAATTCAGGTTGGAACTCACTGATCCATTCAACAAATATGTACTGAGTATCATGATGGAATATCGAGAACGTGGTCTGTGGATATGGATGGCTTAGATTGGAATCATAGCTCTATTTTGGTCCATGAGTTTAGAAAATATACTTAATCTTTCTGTTTCTCAGTTTCGTCACCTGTTAAATTAATAACCATAGTAAATTAACTTTATCAATGCCTGGCACATGGAAATTGGTAAGGATTAGCCAGTGTTACTTTAATCACTGCTATTGTTTTAAAATATTTTTTAAACAGTGCTGGAAAATGATGAATGATCCAATAAATAAAGTCTATGAAGATTATATCAGGAAGATGGCAGAAAAGGAACTCACAAATTCTCCTACCCCTCAGTGGAGACACCAATTCAAAATAATATATGGAAAATTTCCCTTGTTGGAATACAAAAGTCAATTACAAGTCTTTGTGCCATAATAGAGCAAGAAACAAGCCACACAAAATTCAAGGAATTTCTTGGTACCTTTTTGACATAGTTCCTTCCCCTGGCACAGTGCAGCTACATGATAGGAGAAAAAAGCCAGCTGGCTCCTGGATTTTTCCTGAGGAGGAAAATGGGAGACTGCACCTGGGCATCCAAAGTTCTGATTTTACACTGAGGTGGGGCTGTATAAGGAATTGGCTTATGACTTGCCTATCTCTTAAGGCTGATGGAACTCAGCATGCTCTAGATTTCTGGGGGCTATCAAGAACCAAACAGAAAGTCTGGAGCTGAAGAAAACAATTGATGAAAAGAAAAAAAATGTAACAAGAAGAATCAACAACAAACTTGATCAAGCCAAAGAAAGAACCTGTGTACTTGAAGAATGATCAATTTGAAGAGAAATCAGCTCTAAACATCTAGTCAAAGGATGAATGGGAAAAGAGTAAAAAGGGATGAATAAAGCCTTTGGAATTTGTGGGACACTATCAAGAGAGCTAACCTTTGGGAAGGTGACATCAGCAAGATGGTGTAGTAGGAGATCCCAGCCTTATTTCCTTCCACAAAGAATGATTTGTCAGATCTATGATTTGCCTGATGCTATGGTTTGACTGCTCCAAAACACATGTTAAAATTTAATCCCTGATGCAATAGTGTTGGTGGTGGGGCCTAATGAGAGGTGATTGGATCACGAGAGTGGCGCCCTCAGGAATGGATTAGTGCCACTAACATTGGAGTAGGGAAAATCAGTTGTTATAAAAGTGACCTGATCTCATCCTTGCTCTTCTTGCTATCTCATTCTAACCCTTTCACCTTCTACTGCAAAAATATACAGTACAAGATCATTGCCAGATGCTTGTGCCATGTTCTCGTACTTTCTAGTCTCCAGAATCAGGTCTGCGGTATTCTGTTATAGCAGCAGAAAATGGACTAAGACACCTGACAAAGAGCTCAAAATAATTGTTTTAAGGAAGCTCAGCAAACTATGAGGACAGATAGACAACTCAACAAAATTAGAGAAGCTCAATAAAGAGAAAGAAATTATTTTAAAAGAATAATATGGTAGCTATTCATGAATCAAAATAAGCCTGAAAGAGTTCAAGAGCCCATTTAAGATGCAGCAGCAATACAGTAGAAGAAAAAAAAAGCTAAGAATAATTATACATTTTGACTGCACCACCCATCCTCTAGATAGCACACAGAGGGAACTCCTTGGTTTGCAAGTCCCCCTAACAGGGAAAAAAAGTGGGTTGAATAACTAACTTCCTTAATCCTTTGGGGGTACATTCTGGGATAGTAGTTTCAATTTCATTCTCCCTAGGTCACTGTAGAGATTAGCATAATTGTTAAGTCTAAAGACAGCTGGAAATAAAGATGGAAGATATCAATAGCAGCCATGGGGCAGGAGACATCATGATCCTCAATGTCCTGTTCTGCACAAGACTTCATCAGTCTTCTTTACTGAAGATCACCAAAGTCCTCTTGGTGGTTATGTATCATTCACATTTTCATGGCCAAGGACCCCACAGTGTTTGCTATCAAAGACCACCAGGTGGCTTGCTCTCTCGGGCTTTCTGTATATTTCACTGCTGAGGAAGCAAACAGCCAGCACAGACACCACAGATTTCCTGAATATTTCACCACTGAAGGCCCCACAGAGTTTTGCCTTCATGGTCTCCCAGTGCTGAGCCAAATCTACCCTTCCCCATCTACAACCATTTCAGCTGCTGCTGTTGTGGATGTTCTGGCTTAGTACCCACACAACAGCCACATGTGTACTTGCAAATGGGCTCAAGTTCTCTGCTGCAAACCCCAGCATACATTTAAATATGAATGCTGAATGCTAATAGAGTAAGAGTGAGAAGGCATTTTTATAATGAAGTGTCATTCTTTCCAGGGTGACAAAATAGAATCCTAAAGTTTTTTTTTTTTTCACTCCCATAGCATTCATAGTGTACCAATAAAATATACTGTCTGTATAAAAGTTGTCAGAATTTATGTCCCAAGTGAAAATTTAGCCAATTGCAAATACGTTCATATGTAAAATAACTAAATTCCCACTCTTGTGCACTGATAGCTAACACCTGCCAACTAGGCTGGTGCACAATGCTAGCTCCAAGTACTACAATTGCAAGTGCACTAGCAGCTACCCTTGCCCCTTGGAGGCTGCTTCTTGCCAGTGTGTTGAACATACAGCTGGTTCCTATAGCTGCACTCACATGAATGCCTCCAGCTGGGGCCTGTGTCTGCCCTTTCGCATGCAACTGGCTAGACTCCATTCCACAGCTGACACATACAAATTGCTCAAGTACACACTGACAGCCTAACTACCCCATATGTGTCTGCAGTTAGCTTCATCCGTTATCTGGATTTATCATCTGAGCATGGGCTTCCAACTGCCGCCTGTCTTGGCCACTTGGCAGTGGACCCAGTGTTACCACTAAAGAATCCAAGAGCCTTCAAAGATACCTGGACCTCTCATAGCTCTTGTGTCCATGGGCCACACAGTTGCTGATGTTACAGACCTCAACTGTCCAAGCTCATGAGACATTATTTCCTCAAAGACTTGAAAATACTGTATGCCACCAAACATGGCACCCTCTGCCATTAGACATAGTGCTATAGCATACACCCACCCACGTGTCCTGTTCCCCCTTTCTGAAGGTGAAAGTTTTTTTTACTGATGCCAATATATAAAAAGTCTGTAAGAGGTGACTACTTTTTCAAATGAACTGACACCTGTGCAAGGTTATAATGATTATGAAGAATCATGGAAACATGACACCACCAGAGCAACAAAATAAACTTGTAGCACAGACCCCAAAGAACTGAAGGTCACTGAATTGCCTGAGAAAGAAGTAAAAATAATTATTTAAAAGAAGTTCCATAAACTAAAAGAGAACAAAGATAAACAATTTAATAAAATCAAGAAAACACACAAGACAAAAATAAACAGCTCAACCAAAAGATTGAAAATAAATAAAGGAACCAAACAGGAATATTAGCGATGAAATATATGATTGCTGAATTTAAAAATTCAGTTGACAGCTTCTAAAGCAGACTAGATCAACAGAAGAAAGAATAAACAAACTGGAACAGAAATTTGAAATGAACCATTTAGAGGAGAAAACAGAAAGAATGAAAACTTGTGTGGGATCTGAGAAAACATGAAGAAAGCTAATACTTGTATATAAGGATGGAAATAAGAAAAAGACAGAGAAAAAGGAACAGAAAACTTATTAAGATGGCTAAAAACTATCCCAATCCTAGGAAAAATATGAGCATCTAGGCACATAAATTTCAAAGGTCTACAATAAGTTTTAATCCAAAATAGTTCACCAAGGAACATTATATTGAAACTGTCAAAAATTAAAGGCAAATACATAATCTTAAAATCACAAAGAGAAAAGGAACCTTAACACAAACAAAGGAATTCTAATAAGTCTACCTGTGGTCTTCTCAGTTGCAACTATGCAGATCAGAAGAGCGTGAGGATGATATATTTAAAGTGTTGAGGGAACAAACTAAACCTGACAACCAAAAATTCTCAGCAAAGCTGTCTTTCAGAGATAAGGGGGGAAAATAAAGAATTTAATTCAAAATCTGCCACAAGAAATAAATTGCCACATTATTGTACAAAGATAAAGGGGTCAACTTACTAAGAAGATTAAACCATTGTAAATATATATTAAACCCAATACTAGAGCCCATAAATATATAAAGCAAATATTAATAGATCTTAAGGGAGATAGAGACAGCAATGCGATAATATCATGGTATATTTAT